TACAACCTCTACACACCCTCGTAGTATCTAACCGTTCTCCCGTAGGCAAGTCAATACTCAAGGCATGCTCTAGCTTCTCAAATTTCAATCCCAAACTAAGAGCATATGTATTACGTACAAATGAGTGGGTAGCACCGGGATCAAATAAGATTCGGGCCCAAGAGTTGTAAAGAAGTATGATACCTTCCACTACGGCATTAGAAACATCCTCCTCTGGTTGAGTCAAAACAAAAACTTTCCCTTGATTGGCCCCACCAGGGGCTTGAACTTGTAACTGTCTCTGTTGTGGTGGTCTCAATGGTGGTGGCTTATTTGCTTGAATATGTCCTGTCACTTGATTGGTCCTAGGTGGAAGTGAGGGGCATTGATTTTTGAAGTGCCCAAAATCTCCACATGCATAGCAGCGACGTGGTCGGTGCCGGTCCTCGTCTGGGTAGCTCCATCTCCTCGAGCTGTCAAAAGTCTATGTCCATCTGCCTGGTCTGGACGATGGTATGGTGTCGCCCACTGTACTCCACTGGTGCTAGTACCCGTCCTGATCGAACCTCCCCTTGTGAAATTTTGTCGCCGTTGGGTGTCCTCAATATCCCTCTCCACAAGTGCGGCTTGGTCAACTAGATCCCCATAATCCCGAATCTTGAGAGCCACAAGTTTCTCCCTGATAGCAGACCTCAATCCCTACTCAAAACGTTTGGCCCTTCTTACTTCTGTGGATATAAACTCTATAGCATAGCGGGAGAGCTCGTCAAACCTCCTCTTATACTCGCCCACCGTCATGTTGCCTTGCCGTAGAGCCAGAAAATCGGTACTTATTATGTCCCTCATTGATTCAGGAAAGTATTTGTCTTGAAAGATTTGGTCGAACTCCTCCCAAGTAAGCACGTCGGTGTTCCTTCTTCTCTTCACGGAGTCCCACCAATGGTCGGCCTCCCCCTCCAATAGATAGGTTGCCAAGCCGACCCGAAGATCCTCGGCAACTCCCATGCCGTCATACATTTTTTTCACCCCGCGGATCCACCTATCTGCATCCAAAGGGTTAGAGCTCCCTTGGAACATAGGTGAACGTTGTCTCAAAAACTCCCGAAGGACGACCATCCTCTGATTTTCATTCCCGTTGCCCAGTACTTGGGCTAGTGGATGCGCCCCACCATTGTGGTTGTTGTTCCCATTTTGGTGTTGCACCAAAGTGGTAAGCTCTCGTAAACATTGGTAGATACCGTTTATGACATCGGGAGGTGGTGGTGGTGGTGGTGGGTTTGCTTGGCCACCACGACCTCATCCACGTCCACGTCCACGCATTCCATCCATCCTGCACACCAATTCACAATTTAGCTCCTTGATGTACAAGACATTCTAAGTATAGTTCTAGTCTAAGCATAACGTTTAGATAAACTTTCATCCAACAAGATAGTTTACCCTAGTCCTATTTCTCTAGCGGTGATCCATAACCTACAGCTCCCATGTAAGACCTAAAGCCTAGGCTCTGATACAAAAATTTGTAACGCCCCAAAAATCACCCTGAACAGTATTATCATTTAAAATCATTCATATCATGAGAGCAACTAAATAAATCCATGATTTACGAACATTCTTAATTTAACAAAATTCGGACAGAGTCTCCTTTGTACGGGGAGCTCTACCCAAAAACTCAACCTGTGCATTTATACTGCATTGACCACACCGAGTCCATTTAACCATCAAATAAAAATATTCCATTCATCATATGTATTATCCACAGTGTCATCCTAAAAGAATAAGCCAAGTTATGACAGTTACATCCCAAAAGAATTACATTCAACTTTAGCAGCGGAATAAACAAAATACTAGACTATTTATGATCGTAAATAGATTTCTTAGTCTAGTACAAAAATAACTATAGCCCTAGATGTCCACCTCGGGATCTAGAATCCCCTCGGGTGGGGCCTCCTCATGCCCCGGCTTGTCAGCTCCGAGGTCCTCCTCTAGCACCAAATCTGAAAAATATTTAACGATAGGGGATGAACACAAAGCTCTGTAGCAAAATTCTCTCAACTCAAACAAGGTTTAAAAAAAAATATAAAACAGGTCGGTCTCATTTCACAAATAACATATATAACTTTGAAAATAAAAATCAGGACATTTAAACAGATCTCAAGTTTAAGCACAACAATGATTTAAGACATAAATGAATCCAATATCCAACAACTAGTCCATTCCACCATAAATCGTTTTTTCCAAGTTCCTGCGGAATCTCATACTTCCCAAGATTCTTGTCGAAACCATTTCTGGTACAATAAATAATAACCTTTTTTTTGTATTCGTATCTCAGGTATGAAGTAAGATTTCGCATGGTCACCATCGAAAATATCATGACCCACGTACAAACCACACAATTCCCTTGTTCCACGATACCCCGTGTGTGATAATGGTTTAGCCTTCGCAAGACACTAACTCCATTACGAGTGGTAGAAATAGTTCAACTCACACGGAGTAAGAAGTCGTCTACCCACTCCATGATATCCGGTCAATAGTAACCTATGTTTATCCCCACAACTACACAAGAGATACAATACCAACTATTTTCTCAAATATAATTAATTTCATAAACCCCCAATCACATGGGTATTTCTCAAATCACAAGAGAATCAAATAATCCCAATAGAACATTATAAAAGAAAAGCATGAGATCATCATAAATATTATTTCATTACTCAACACAAAGCACTAGAGTTTTCAAAATCAACAATAATGGAGAAATTAAGGAAAACCCCCATTTTTCTTGAAAACTAAGTTTTGAAGCAAGTAAATGAGTTTTAATGGTTACCCAACCACCAAAATATTTAAAACATGACAATAAATGCAAGAATACCAAGAGTCAAGTATATAATAACAAGAAATTAAGATTTTTAAGTCAAAAGAATACATATAAACTAACCCTAACCTCAATGTAAGAGAATAAGAAGAATTTTCCTACTTTGAATCAAAGTTCCAAATCAAAACTCAAGCTCAAGAGACCTATTTTCTACCTTTCCTCCTTTCCTTTATCTTCTCCTAGGGTGCTAAGAGGTTTGTGGTGAGAGTGGAGTGAAAGAAATAGAGGCAAATGAGTTGAAATCTGTGTTTTAAACACAGTAGTCCCGACGGGTTACTGTTCACATGCTGAAATTTGGGTTTTCTCCAGAATTACGGTTTTACCACTAAAAATCTCCAATTTGATCCATATGACTACCCTAAAATTTTTCGACGTTTCAAATTCATTTTTAATGTTATTTTAACTTAAAAATATTTATTTTTATGATTTATTTCAAAATTAAAATAAATTTACACTCGAAATATTAAAATTACTATTTTATTCCTCCAAACCGCCATATGTGCTAACGGCTATCCCAAATTCTTATGATTTCAATATATATGGTTTATTGTTACGTCATTAAATATATACAAATCACTAAACAAGTACATTACTATATTAATATAAACATGTGGGGGTTTACACTTTCAAAATCTAAGAAGAAAGTACTACACTTTACTATCCAAGGAACACCATAGTGCAGATTTTTGGTCAATTTCAGAGAATAAAATGATTTGACTCAGGTATTTCTAGTATGTGTGACCTATATGGTTGGAAAGATATACGAGTTAGGGTTCTAACAAAAATAACGGTGCGCAATTTGGACTTTTCAACAAAGAGTTATGATCAAATTAGTGAAAGGTAGTCTGCCGGACTACTTGGTTCTTCTATACTTGTCTAACTCGAGTTTGAGTGTCTTTTGTCACAAATTCTATCTCGTACCCATCTCCAATATAGGTAGAATGACTTTCATAAAGATCCATGTCTAGCATCATTCATTAACCAAAACCAAATTATCCTCCGTCTCTTAGAATCATCCATGACAACATGATGTAGAACTAGTATATTTAGAAAAAATCTTTCTTCAATTCCTCTAAGCTAGCTCGTTGATGAGAATGCAAATGTCATATTTTTTTTTCTCTTTCATTATTTAGTCCTTTATACTTATTATTCTTATAGTTTGATTTAAGATGTAAATAAAGACGTTAAAAGTAGAACGAAGCTAATAGGATGATTGTTGATAGTATAGACATGTGGGGATTTACAAGTTTGAGGGAAAAATTTTGAGGATGATTTTAAGTCATTTGATTGAATGAATTTTAGTCACTCTTAAACATTCATCAATTAAAATTCAGCATTCAGTTTTTAATATTCAGCTTTTCAGTTTTATCAAACACTATTTAACTTAAGGATTCAAAATTAATCTATTATTGACCACGTTAGGCACAATAATATTAGGGGTGTCAATTTATTTCATGTCATGTGACTTGTGTATTAATATTTTTATGTCATGTATCAATCTATTTAATGTATTTTAAGTATTAAATATTAATTTAAATTATTTATTATGCGTATTTAATAATTATGTTAATATTAGAATCGAATTAATGTAAAGACTAAATTGAAATGCAATTAAAACTCTTGATTTGATTGTTAATGATAATTTTAAAGATCAAATAAAAATTAAACACATACTTGAAGGGTATAAATTATAATTCACTATTTATCATACACCTCCCTCAACCAAGAAGGAGAAAAGAAAGGTTCAGCGCAGTCTTCTCAAAGGCCACACAGAGATAGCAAAGACCCGCGTAGAAAATGCTAGCAGCTACTATGATTGGGCGCGTGAACCCACAAACTTTTTTCCACCTACTCCAGCAGTAAACATCTTCTGAACCCACAACTAAATTATCATCAAATAACTATATTTAATGCAAATTTTTATTTAATTATTCAAGTTTTTTAGCGTAAGTACTGTTTGGATCACAAATTAAATGGAAGGAGTACTATTATTGAGTAGTAAAGCAAGTGGCTCATTGAGATTATCGCCAAGACATCTTTATGGCCTTACTGGTTCTAGTTCAAGAACTTCAAAGGGGTCATTGAGGGTATGTGTGAAGTTGCAGAGGCTCAAGTCCTTGCATTTATACCCAGTTCACTTATCTACTAACCCATATTCGCTGTTTCAGTCAATCAGGTCAGTTCTACTTGGAATCTTTTGATTCTTTAAAAGTTGTTTCACTCATTTGGAAACACTTTGAATCTAACTGAATCGTATGCAAAGAATAGAATGCTGGTATATTCATGAATGTTATTTTTTAGAAGTTTATTTGATAGGGCTTATTGGTGAACTTTTTTGTTGTTCACGTGATGTTGGGATTTGAACTGTCTCTTAAGTTTTTCTGTATACACTATGTGGGAAAGATTGGTATTTATGTCCTAATTTAGGATCAGGCGAATTGATAGAGAAACAAGTTTTAGTTGCAATGATAGTTTAATTGAAAGAGTGAGTGTTATACGTCTTGCACTTTTGAACACATTACTTCGGATGTTTGAGGTTTTGTAGTGACCGATCAAATTTCTCCTGTGCCTGAATTATGTAATTTTTCAGTTTTGTTTGATAATCCCTGCAATTGCATGAGTTGGAGGGTTTCATGATATGAATTTTTGATAGGCAGAAAGCAGAGGCCAAAGAGGGTCAACAAGAGGTTGAGTGGGAAAGATTAGTAGAATCTAAGATGGCGGAATATGAAGGGATGACTGTGACTTCAGATGTGAAATCAGGAAACATGGTTTTCGAGCCTATTCTAGAGGAAGGGGTCTTCAGGTTTGACTGTTCTGCGGATGATAGAAATGCGGCTTTTCCAAGTCTTTCTTTTGTTAACCCTAAAGATAGAGAGACACCAATTATGACTACCGACAAAGCTCCATCATTCACTCCTACTTTTGAGTGTGTGCTTGGACAACAAATTGTTAATCTTCAGGTCAGTTAGTTAGATATCACCGTCTATCTTTTTCTGTTAGCATATTGTATTTCCTTCAACATGTACCTGTGTATCTTATACATTTGGTTTTCATCTAGCTTCCTGCAGGTACCTCATTCTATGGAACAGGAGAAGTTAGTGGACAGCTTGAACGGACAGGGAAAAGAGTCAGTCAGTTTGCATTGTCATCAATGAATTTTTTTCTTGTCTATGATCTTCATGAATTAACCAATTACATTGTTTATAGGTTTTTACCTGGAACACAGACTCATGGGGTTATGGTCCTGGAACTACATCATTGTACCAGTCGCATCCTTGGGTACTAGCTGTTCTTCCAAATGGAGAGACACTAGGGGTTCTTGCAGATACAACAAAACGCTGTGAGGTATTCACGCTTTCTGATTTATTCCATATATTTGTTGTTGTTGATCATTTTTGTTTTTATGCAGATTGATTTGCGGCAAGAATCAACTGTAAAGCTTGTAGCTCCATCATCATATCCTGTCGTTATATTCGGCCCATTTCCTTCAGCAACTGATGTTCTGATCTCTTTGTCACATGCAGTTGGTAACTGGCTGAACCATTTCACTTTTTGTTTCTTATCTTTGCAATGCTACTACCTCTTTGTTTTTTCCCCCTTTTATTTATGCTTTCATTTGATAATTGTCCGTTGAAATCAGTAAAATAAAATGAAGGCAAGAAAAGATTTTGGCATTAAGATTTTTGGATACTTAATCCCAACTCCTTCACCTGTATTGTTCTCGCCACCCAGATTTGCATTGGATTCTGAGTCTTATTAGTTTGAGGAATGCATCTAGGGAAGGTTTGTGCAAATCCTTCAAATAGGAAAGGCAACCAAAATGGACTTTGCAATAGGAGAATGAGAAAAAGAACATTTCACGTTGTTGTACCTCAAAACTGATACCAACTTTTTAGACCGTATTCCAGCTGTTATTGATTAAGAAGCATGAGATATTTACATTGGTTTTATGTTGAAGACTCACAGTTCCTATTATGAAGGGGATGCCCTCAGGACCTCAGCTATAGTTCTTTAGTGATTAGAAATGCTCTTTTATATTGGAACATTGGACTCTGATAATATCGTTGTGGTAAGTGGCAACATGACAATTTATTAACCTTTGTCACAGAAAATAATCTAGTACTAATTGTAGTACAAAGTCAACTTGGTCTGGTGGAAGCACTTCACAAGTTTGAATATCCTTAAATGAATTCTTTGTACCTCTATACTCCTCCCCCTAAAAAGAACCAAAAAATGAGCATACAAGGAGGATAGGAAGTTATTCGCATAGGAACTTAACTAAAAACTGTGGCTTAGAGCATTGCAGAGGAAATAGAAAAGAATTACGTTACCTGTCAGAAATGTGAAACCTTAATGGAGAATTTTTCTTCATGAATAATCGAATCAAATGCAAAAAAGTAACTAACCATTATGGAGTGATGTGGAAGTTGAAGCATGTATGTTTGGGTTCATAGGTTTCTTGATTATGTCTTTTTACTGGAAATGAAAACCTAATTAAAAATAAAATCATTAGTTTTATTCCTTTGGTATATAAACGCCAGGGGTGGGCAACACAGTCCGACTAGAGTTGAGAGTTAGGGGCCTCTGATCTTTTATCTCTAGGGACAACTTGCAAAAAGTGCTTCTGTGTTAAAATTTCAGGGCTTTGATTTAGAGCTGTCAGCTCATAATCTACAACTCTTATCCCATTTGTGTATTAAGCTCGTGTTTGGCATTTGATTATGTTGCTCAAATATTTCCTAAATATCAGATGTTTCAATCTGTCTCTGTCTCTCTCTCCCTTCCTTCCTCGCAGTTGCCAAATTAGCATAAGCTTGCATCAAGCCCAAACTTTACCGGGAATCTTACTGTACCTTTCCAAAAGAAAAAAATGATTCTTTTTGGTTGGTGAAAAGTCAGCACAAGTGCCAAGGGGATTACTTGATGTGCATAGAAAGTGTACACACAGCAAAAGGAAACTTCTAAAACATAACAAAACAAAATATAAGTTATGGTATAAACAAAGGGAGCTATGAGCACCCACATGGCCATTCATAATTGTCCCCCAAGCTCGCTCAGGAAAAAAATGTCTCTGAACAAAACTCAAGCCACCAAAGAAACATTGAATATTTTGGTGCGTCCTTTAGTAGTTTATTGGATTTCTTTTTTCTTTTGGTTGAAGATGTTTGTTACTAAATGTTAAACAACCATCTCCTCCAAAAGTTTAAGTTGTTGGGAGAGTGTAACTAAGTATTTATACTTTAATACGCCCTCGCGCGTGCATGTTAGATTTTGGGCATAACACGTGAATTTTTTTTTAATAATTAAGATAGCGGTGATAATTGAACACCGAACCTTCTGCTTTGATACTATGTTAAACAACCATCTACTTCAAAAATTTAAGTAATTGGAGATGGGGTAACTTAAGTATTTGTACTTTGACACTAAACAATGTTGTTTAACCTTTGATATGATACAAAATAAAAAAAGCGAGTTATTTGTTCATAATCTTTCTTTCTTTTTTGTTCCTCCTTTTTAGGTTACCTAGCTTACTTATACAGAGTCTTAGCAGGAGAGATAGGTTCAAGATTCATTATCTTCAACGCTATTTGATCCATGGAAAGGCAATTTATAGATATAGGTGAACCCAAAAAATTTGTTGAGCTGAACAAAAAAAGAATATTTTTCCATGTCAACTTTGCGTAGAAGCACACTCATAAAGGCACATATGCACACATTAGTGATCAAACATATAAAGCAATAGATTTCTATAAAAATCTTTTTGTGAAAAATTTTCCGATTAATTAAGTGCTACCTCATTTTATGTTTGATATTGTGTAAGTTGTGTTTGACGGTATGAGAATTCGATTATTTAGAAACTTTGTAGATAGCGGGGCAGATATTCATTCATGATAGATGCACACTTGATCTAATTTTAATGCTAGTCTTCTAGTATATTTTTCTGTTGCCATAGAGCTTTCTCTCTTTATGTGTGATGCGCGCGCGTGTATGTGTATATATCTCTGCTGGTAGTTTGATGGGATGACTGTCATATTTGGACTAGGAACTGTTTATATGCCCCCAAAGTGGTCCCTGGGTTATCATCAATGTCGTTGGAGCTATGACTCTGATGCCCGAGTTCGTGAGGTTGGTCCTTTGTGAACTTCGTCCCTCACTCTTTATTGATTAAAAGATTTTTTGGGGTTTCTTTCTTGTTTAAGCTGAATAGCTAAATAAGACTATTGCTTTCCTTTGTAGTCACTTCTACGTTTTGAACATCATGCTTCTTGTTTTTCTGTGGGTTTGCCCATTCACATGTGCAGATTGCCAGGACATTTCGGGAGAAGGGTATACCTTGTGATGTCTTATGGATGGATATTGACTACATGAATGGTTTTCGTTGTTTCACTTTTGACCAGGCATGTTCTCCTCAATAATCCTTATGAAATATTTAATCATGATATTATATATATACAACCTTTTCGGCTGAGTCATTGGTAATTAACTTTGTGCTATTTACTCAGTTCCTAGACATAGTGATACAAATTGATTTGTTTGCATTATTCTTGTATATTTCTTGATGTAGATTGTTGTTTTAATCTAGGACACAAACTTCATGTCGGCAGACTAGTTTCAAAGGAACTTGGCTTAACTGTTGAGGGTGCTTTGACCCTCCAAATGATGGATACTTAATTGACATTTGAAATGTGCCAATTCGAGGTTGTGCTGCATTCTTGATTTAGAGCTTGTTCTTGACAGTGCTTTTTTTCCCTTTTTTTTTGGATGTCATGGTTCTCAAAAAATCGCTGATGACAATGTTACTCCCTGTAAATATTACTGAATTTTTCCCTAGTTGTACTCATAGTGGATTGCCATAACCTCGGCGTTTGCTTTTGCAACTCCCGAAAAGAGTTTGTTGAAGTTTCTGGTATACTAACAAATTCTCTTAGAAACTTAGAATTTATCCTTATCTGGGTTATCTTAATTATTATTTATCAAAAAAGCACAAAAAATATCGTTATTGCTATTTTATTTGTTGATATAGGTTACTTAATATTTCTTAGCATTGCAGATATTAGACTTCACTACACAACTCAAGGCGACTCCTCCTTTATTTTCTACTGGTGCTATTTCTGTTGTTCTACAAATGTGTTGATTTTTATTTTTACCATTCCTTATTTTGCATTATGTCCATCTTAATATTTTTATTTGATTTATTTTTTTAATAAGAATGCTATTTTCTAGTTACACAAAGATTCATGCTCACAAATAAAACTGATCTAGTGGTCTCAACTATTGTGCTAGAAGCATGTCACTAAACAAAATACACTTTAATTCTATAAGAACATCATTGTCGATCTTTGTTTTCTTACTAGTTGTTGCACATGTGACATTTTGAATTATAATTTTATTTTTATATTTTTAACTTTGTTAAAATTATATATCAATTATGTTATTCAATATATAATTATGAATCAAAGTATAGAATTACGGTCCAAATTCTAAATGATGTTTTCAAATGTATCAAACATAACCTTCGGAATGTAATAAAATGAAGCTTCTAACTAATATGTTGGGAGTATACTATTCTAGAATTATCTCTATATAATGTTGTTTACGGAAGTTATGTAATATATTGTCATATTATGACAAAAAAAAATAAAAAGAATCAAAATATAGACAATAAAGATAGGTTTCTCTTACCTAGATATATTTTTCTATATATTTAATGGCCTAATTTATTTTGTTTAAAAAAATTGCCTAAATTTTATTTTGTTCGAAACCCCAGTATTAATACACGTTGACAACTCTATTGATACAATATCATCTCTAATGCCTAAAAATGACTATATTTTTCTTATCTCTTTATTCACAATTAAAATAATTTAATAAAAAATAATTGATGCACAAAGTAAAAATAAGAAAGACAAAAAGAAAAAAAATCGAAAAAAGAAAAATATATAAACCTTATTATTTGGTAGCTCGAACGAAATAATAATGGAAAATGAATTCATTGAATGTTTATAGTTATGAAGAAGAGAATACAAATAATTTAAATATGACAAGTGCAACACACGTCATGCATAACTACTGATATTAAAATGCTAATAACCCAACAGACAAGATTGTTTTTCTAAAACTTAAATAGTAGTCAACAACAAAATAATTGTGACAATTATTATGATGTAATAATGTTATTAATTACAGAAAAATAGGATAGACCATTAGACATTAGTTAGTTTGTTAAGGTTATTTTGGTCTAACAAATATTTTTCACTTTTCTTGATATTTAGAAGTAGTATAAAAATAAATTATAATTTTTTGACATAGAAATTAAAAGTTATTTGTTGATGCACATATGCGTTGCACGTGAACTATTTTATATACCAAATAATAAAAATTGAGAATTAATCAATTAATAATCAATTTTTAAAAGAAAATCACAAAAATATAGGCTAAAATAAGTTGTTTTGTCCTCGTGTATAGCTAGCTATATACATGAAGTTTGAAACATGCTCAAGGGAGAGACGTTATGAACCCATGACGTATTTTATCCTCATGATAAAAGATAATTAAGACAAAAGCTCTATATATGGACTATACAAAAAGTTAGCAACATGCTCAAGGGAGACATTATGAACCCATGCATGTATAGTCTAAGAAAGAGAGTTATCTCTAATGTAATACATATTCATGTTGTTCAATCTAAGAATTTCCAACAACACCACACGAATTGCAAAATTTTATAATTGTAGAATTTGCAACACTAAGGTAATTAATTTATTTTCGAGGTTAAAGTTTAGATGAATTAAACAGATTCAATTTTTATTTCTTTCATCAAATAGCTATTCCTTGACCAAATCATGCAAGTGCAAATATCAATTAAATAGGACTACGTGTATTTGATAAATTAACTCATTAAATACGTTATGCCCAGCTATTTATAAGAAAAATCTAGTACACTAAGGTCAAACCAAAGACTGATTGGAGCAATCTAGTGTTCATATTCTTTTCTTTTCTTTTTTAGAATTTTATGATAATCCAATTACTTAATTTACCCATAATGACTTCAACAAATCACCGATTTCAAAAGTTATAAAGTACCCATAGACAGATATGCAACATGATTGGCGGATAATAATCATACAATCAGACCCCAAAAAAAAGAAAAACACATACTGAGAAAATTCAAAGGATCGAGGAGCATAATATAGAAATTGTATATTAACAAAATAATGTAATATGAAATAACCTAGCATCAGTACCAAGGTACTTAAACATTTTCTTTGAATTACTCTTTTCCTTGCTTGGCTACCCTTGAATGGCTTTCTACACAGTGGTAGGCCCATCACCCTTGTTTGTTAGTAAATCTTGGATGGCATTCAATGAGAATTGAATTATAAGTATATTTGGGTGGTTGTAATTTTTTATCAATCTATCGCTTTATGTTCTATTTAAACTCAAACAATACTAACCAAAATGAAAAACCCATTATAGGTTAAAACTCTTACTTTTTTTATTTTTTTTGTTAAGGCTTTTGTTGCTTCTTCTATAGAACTATGAATTTTTATTTGACATTAGAACAAGGGAAAAAAAATAGAATTTTGAGAATAAGGATTTAACTTACTAAAAGAAGTGGGCGAATGGATATCATGTAATTCAATGTCTCCTCTAAGATAGTTGGTTTGATTGACACCGTGGTTTTGATTGGCACACTAAATTTATGGATAATTGAACTTCTTACCTTCGAATATAAGTAGTATAGGTTGAATCCACAATCAAAATGGAAAATAATATTTTGGGTCTTAAAAATCATGAGAATGCATCCATAAGAAACAAAATTATTAAAAAAAATCCAAGAAGGCATAGTTATGAATTATGAGTGTGTATTACATGAAAAGTATAGTCAATTTTGTATTCAAAACTCTTAAACCCGAAAGATCCTGAGTAGAAAATTTGCTCAAGCCAACGTGAAAGCATTGTCATTCAGATTTATCTGATTCAGACAAAAAGGTCATAGGAAACATTTAATTATTTGAACTTGAGACTACCCAAAAAGTAAAAACGATTTTATTAGATAATTAATCGGTACATTCAATGCAAATTCAATTCCTAGAAGTCTTTGCATCTTGCAATTGCTAAATGAAGCAATCAATTGCGGGCTACATGAAGAGACATATGAGACCAAAAATTTGGTTTTGATGGCCAGAAGAAGGAAAGGTTTAGATATAGGGGATGGTTACATTCAAGTAAGATGAAGATACTTGACTATATATATTAATAAAAAATGTTACATAACTCAAATGAAACCCAAAAGTTAAAATTCAAATGCATATTATCCTTTAGATGAGTGTGCCCCACTGAAAAAATTGATGAGATCCACTTATCCAATGAATGATATGCATTTGAGTTGTAATTTTTTGAGTTTTATTTGAATTTTGTAGCAGTGCTCTATATTAATACACAAGCAGTTTAATGACATTTAATTTTATAGTAAAAATGAGGGTCAAGTGAGTCTCAAATTTGATGGGTTAAAAGGATGTTAATGTCATTTAGATATTTAGTAGGGCCAAAAAATAAAATGTTAATCATACAACGTTATCCTTGATTAAAATACCAACCGATACCTCTTGAATAGCTTGACCAAAATAAATCTACAAACTTTGATAGAGTAGACAAGTAATTGTGTTGCTGAGAATTTTTTCAATAATTTTCTAATAAAAAAATTGAAAGACTACAAATCTGTAATAACAGTCACCAACATCCCTCATACACTACATTTTCACTTACTCACCAACATCCCTCATACACTACATTTTCACTTACTCACCAACATCACTTACACATTAAACTTGCACTCTTCGCTTTCCACACACGAGGAAACTATTGGTTGCCATTTTCATCGTTTTAAAAGGTTACATGTTAACTCCTTTGCGCTGGTCAGAACCAAAAAACTAATTGGTCTATCTTTCCTATTATGGTTCTAAAGGTCCAAACCATTGGTCATCTATAAGGACTAACAAAAGAGAATAAAATGGAAAAAACAATCAGAAATTAAAACTTTTTGAGGAGAAAAAGACTGAAATTTCTTTGTAGTTAAATTGGAAATTTGAGTCTTTTTGATGTCGAATTGCTTGTTTTGGGAGTGATCGAAGTTTTGCATTGGAGATGCATGTACTTTAAATTCTGAGACTCTAAATAATCTTTCTTCTTCTCAATCCACCTTCTTCCTTTCCTTCATATTTGGTTGAAGAGGAGGTGCCATCTTAGATAGATAGATAGAGAGTTAGATAGTGTGTTAAGCTAAATTGGGGGCAAGGGTTTGTGCTCACAACCAAGGATCAAAATGTCGTGTCGACACGTCCGAAACGTCCGAAACGTTTCGGAATTTCAACACTCCGAAACGAAACAGTAGTTGAATCACAAAATTCCAGTG